ATTTTCATGGCAGAAGGAAAGGAGAATGAGTTTCTGTTTGAATAAAGTATATATCATGGGCTGAGGGTGTAGCTCAGTGATAGGGCACTTATCCAGCCTATGTGACACCTTGAGTTAAATGTCCAGTACTGCTAAAAAAAAAAAAAAAAAAAAGTACATTATATCTGTACATAAGCCGTTGACCAAAACAAGTCATGTGGTTCCCTGTGTTAGACAGCTTTTCATTGCTGTGGCAAGATACCTGAAAGAAACAACTTCAAGGAGGAAAGATTTATTTTGTGTCATGATTCCAGAGATTTCAGTCTATGGTCACTTGGTCCTGTTGATTCTGGGACCATGGTGAGGAAGAACATCATAGTTGGGAGAACATTATAGTGGAGACTCATCTCGTGGCAGCCAGGAAGCAGAAGGGAGAGAGGAGAGAGCCACAGACAAAACAGTTCCCAAGGGCACTTCCTCCAAGAACCCACTCCCTATGACTAGGTCCCACGGCCTACAGTTTCTACCACCTTCCAATAATCCACTTAGATTGATGAAGTTAGAGCCCTCAAGATCCAATCATTTCCAAAATCCCCACCTCTCTATATTGCTGCACTGGGAATCAACTGTTCAACACATGAGCCTTTGGGGAATGTTCCAGATCCATACCATAAAACCCACTCAACTTTTTTCAGCCATCGTTCCAGGCTGCAGCTGTTCAAGGTGATGAGGTGTGAGCAACAAGTAGTGCCTCACTAAGATGTAGGTCTCTTCAGGGAGATTGGGCTGGGGTGGGGGGGCTCTGAATGCTGGGGAAGCCCCTAACAAGGCTGCTGCTGTTCCTCCAGATCACTAAAAGTGGTCTTCAGGGTGACCTTGACATGATCCTTCCTAGTAAATCCCACGTGAGGACAATGCTGACATTCCTTCTTCCTGTTAATACCCAGGTATTCCTGGGAGACGGCATCTTATTTTCTCAGCAAGACTGTGAGGAAGTTATCATCAGCATCTTTCCTATTTTATGGATAAGAAAGATGAAGTAACTTGTTTGTAAGTGGAGGACCCTGAGCTTGAACGTGGAATGTTGGTCTTATGAACATTAGAAATGGAATACTATATAATTATTGAATTAACAAATATAAGTATTATGAAATATATGGGGAATTGTTTATATAATAATAAGTACAAAAAATAGATATCAAAAGAATACATACTCTGTGGGTATAACCATGTAAAAGTTGGAAGTACTTGGCCTTTTGGGGTGGTAGAGTTTTATCTCTTTTTAGGAGGAAAGATTTATTTTGTTTTAAAGTTGACTTAATAACACATTTTTAAATAACAAAATTTTAACTTTCAGTACACAAGAGATTGAAACGTGGTGGGGAAAGAAGAATTATGTGTCTGTCACTATATTTTTTTAGAACTTAGGGGCTGAGCACTGGCAGAAACATTTAAAAAACCCAAACCACCAAGAAAAAAAAAAAAGAACTTAGGGGCTTTGACCAACTGGCAGATAACCATGCTGTTTGACAGACCTCTTCATTCTTTTTTTTTTTTTTTTTTCTTGCAGTGCTAAACTAGGGATTGAACCCAAGACCTTAACACAAGCTAGGCAAGGGCTATACCTCCAGCTCCCTCCTCTTCACTGTTCAACCTCCTCAGTGCCCTGCTTCCCTAGCTGAACAACTGCTCCAACTCATTTGATGAGCAAATCAGGTCCTTGTGAATTGAGAAGACTAAAGCCAAATATAGTTTAGATTGGATTAAGATCAGATACTACAGAGATAGTTGAGGTTGAGCCATGGTGAGGAAGAGAAGAAAATATCAAATGTCAACCGAGATTATTCCCTGCAAACTGAGTCCAAGTAGTAATAAGGGATTTGAGCCAGCAGAAGTTAATGTTAAAGAGGCAACTGTAAATAGAAAATATAGGCATGATAGGAAGTCTAGATGACATTTCAGAGCTCTTTGCTTTTGGAGACCCCTTCTAAAGACCCTCAGCTATATATGTTGGCCTCCCAGAGCCAGTCTGTCAGTAACTGTGCCCTGAGACTATTCAGTGAAAATTCTATATTTTTAACTACATTTAACACTATTGTAGTGAATATATCATCATATTTAACAAAGGGACCCTCTCCAGCTTTTCGGCATAGAAGCATCTGTCTCTTAAAATTATTTCAATCTTGGTTAATCAGGTTTCTTTTTCTTTTTCTTTTTTTTGATACCAGGGGATTGTACCCAGCAGTGCTTAACAATTGAGCTACACTGCCAGCCTTTTTAATTTTTTATTTTGTGGCAAGGTCTCACTAGTTGCTTAGGGCCTCTCTGGGTTGCTGAGACTGGCTTTGTACTTGTGATCCTCTTTCCTCAGCCTCCTGAGCCACTGAGTTGACAGGCATGTGCCATTGCACCTGATGGATAATCAGGTTTCTGATAATAAAATATGCTACGGGCATGATCCTCTTAATTAGCAAAAACATTTCTATGTTTTTATTTTTGTATTAATAGTAAGTATTTTTATTAAGTCATATTTCCTGTCATACAACATGAACATAGTTAAAAATCATTAAACATCTCTTATCCCACATATCACTAGGCTCTATAACCTAAAATTGTAAAAGGATAAATTTTATGTTGACAGTAGCCTAAAGATTATGTATTTTTGCCCAAGTCAATAATATTGTAATTATTTCTTCAAGGTAAACTTAATAATTAAAAAAAAAAGTAATGATCATATTTTAAGTCAATCTAAAGATTATTTGATTTTGAAGTCATTCAAATTTTAGAAAAGAGGTAAGTCCTGCTTCAGTATCTGTGCCTTTATCAGATTTTAGACTTATAAACTTTTCATTTTGAAAAAATTTCAAACCTTGCAAGAATAGAACAATGATTTTATGTATACCCCTTCACATAAAGTCACTAATTGTTAACATTTTGCCCCATTTTCTTTCTCTTTCATTCTCTTAATATGTGTGTATACATGTTATGTCTACTTATTTCCTGTGTCTCTTAACAATAAGGAATTCTTTTACCTAACCATGGCCACACTATAATGATCAACTAAAGGATATTTTATATTAATGTCAGTATCATTTACTGTATAGACATGCAGAATTTGCCAACTATGTCAGTATTGTTATTTACAACATGCCATATCTCCTCATTTCCTTTAATCCAGAATAGTTCCTTAGGGTTGTTTTGGTTGTGGTCTTTCATGACTGCAATTTGAGAAGAAGACAGGCTGTTTGTTCTGCAGAATAGTTCTCAGTGGGGGCTTGTCTGATGGTTCATGAGTGATGCTGGGAACTTCTCGTGGCATCATTCCTCAAAGCACCTGATGTTGGTTTGTCCTGTTATTTTATAGGTATTTCAATTTGTTATTTCTTAGAATAGTATGCCTTGTTACATGAGATCAAATCCAGCCTATCTGTTGTAATAAATGTTTTTCTTCTAGCCCTGAAATTGTTTCTCACTACAATCTCTTTATTTTACAAGTTCATAGATTTGCTTTGTAGAAATAGGTTGGAACTGTTAAACTAAATTAGCCTAGACTTTATCAGCCCTCTTAAGTAAAATAGGAGTAATTCCCAATATGAGAAAATCCATATGTTTAACAAAGAAACATTAGCAATTAGTTCTTAACTAAGGAAGTTCCCTTATAAAATCATATTCTCTCATAGAATTTCTTTCTTGGTAAGCTAGCTAATTTATATAGGATTCAATTTACCTAAAATAAAATGTTTTAAATGATAAGTATGTGACCCAATGGACTGTTAATTTGTTTGATTTATTCATCTGACAGTATATACATGTATCAAAACATCACATTATATGTTGTAAATATATACAGTCCTCTTACCTCATATTGAAGATTAGACCCAGGGGTGCTTTACCACTGAACTACATCTCTAGCCCTTTTTATTTTTTATTTTGAGATAGGATCTCATTCAGTTGCCAGCGTTGGCCTCTAACTTGTTATCCTCCTGCCCCAGCCTTCCAGTAACTAAGATTATAGTTGTGTGCCACTGTGCCCAGTTATATAATTTTTATTCACTATTATACCTTAATAAAACTAGGGGTGGGGTTTTAATATAAGGGTGGGTTTCATATAGTTAACAACATATCTATTATGTAATGTTGTATACACATTGCCCTGTTCTATAATATTTAATGGTGCAGCCTGGAATTTGGTCTTGGACAACCAAAAAGGTTACCCTTTATGATGCAGCCTCAAAAATGTCAAGCAATGTACCTCAAGCATTGTTTAACAAAGGATTTTGGGTTTATTCACCATGGATTTGCCTCAAATGTTTTATAGTTTCATTTGTATCCTTTGGGAAACAGAGTTGCATGTTTTCCACTTGTATTTAGGCAGTATTCCTTTTTTCCTCTTTAACTCAAAGTTGCAAACTTAGATGTCTGACCTAATGAGTCAGGGAGGTGATCCTGGTGTGAGTATTAAAAGCAGGAGTGTGGGTATCCCACCTACAGGGAACCACTACTGTTAGCTTCAGCCATGTGGGACTGTGGATCGATATGGCCACAATGTTCTAAGTTTTCCCTAGAAGCCTCAAATCCAAATTTTTAAACATTGTGAATCCAATCAAAAATTTAAAAGACTGTGCAGAACAAGTTGATATCCCATCATTTATCAGTGTATTTTTATCTTAAATATATTTCTTTTACATGTCTCATACATCAGTGTTTTGGGGATTTGGTATATGAATTCATAATACAGGGTATATGAATCCCCAATTCTCCACCTCCTAATTGTGACAATTTTATGTATCATTCTTTCTGCTTTCATCTTAACCTGATAAAATTATTTTAAACTATTCTGTAATTGGGTAGAAATAGTGCCACTCACTACATTATTTTATTTACCTTGACTGAACGTATACCAGTGTACAATAGGAACGTTATAATCTCAGTCTTTTCATCTGTTGTTACTAGTTTTTGCTTTTGAGGGTGAGTGGCAATTCCAAAGTCAGAGGCCAATTCTTCTTTCCATATCTCTACAGCCATCATTTCATCAAGTTGATAACATTCGCGGAACCCGCCACCATGGGTTGGTGGAGAGGCCAGCCAGAAACCGCTTCCACCCCCTTCACCGAAGGTCTGGGGACAAGCCAGGACGACAAATATCCTTTGTCACTGTCTGAAGGGAGTGTAAGTTTTGAAATGTTTGAAAGATTTTCAGAATTTGTCTTCCCTATAGTTCTCCTGCAACCTCAGAATCTTCATTTTATCTGATGCATGGAGGCAATAAAAGTAAATGATTCAAAACTAAAAACATCTCTACAGCTTTAGGTGTTTAATTTATGAAAGCATTGATAACGTTCAGTTTAATGAGATAACTGAATATAAACAACATGTGATTTATTCAGCTTAATCCCGAGACTTCTTAGCATTTTCTTCACAAATTGTCAACATGAGAGTTAAGCCTGACTTTGAATTGAGTTAGAGAGATTTGGTCTACCCAGCAAAAATGGATAGATAGATTTGTGATTCATTTGTATTTCTGTTGACCTGGTGACTTGATTTTGGAACTGAAAGAAGAAATCTCATACAATTTTCTATTTGTAAATGTTCAAATTCAATAAATTACAACAAAAATATAAACTTGGTATTTAGGAAAAATAGTATATATACTTGACACCAAACTCTATGTTGCTAAGTAGCAATAAAGACAAGGAGAAGCAAATTCACCTTATAGTACTTATTGGCGAGTGCAAGAACAGGATGGAGGTACTGCTGCCTGACCAGCATGGTTCTGAGGGTTTTGGGGATACTGAAATGAGATGGATTTTGTGGGAGAGGACACAAAGGTGTGCCAGGAGGGCCTCTGTATCCTTTCACTCTTCTCAGAACACAGGCACCAGGGGTGGAGAAAAGAGAAGAAAGGCGTGGTGAATCTCGAAGAGAGCTGAATTCCTGGCAGTGATGGTAGGGCTGGCTTCACAAGCCTAGAAACCAGGAAGTGGGGGAGGGCATTCATGCTTACTGAGCACCTACCCATGCCAGGCACTGTGCTGGGCAAGTTATATGTCATTTAGTCCTCAGAGTTCATTGAGTTATTTATTTTTTTAACCTCCATTTTCCCATGAGAAAACGGAGTGTTGTAGTAACTGGTCCAGGATTCCACTGCTGTGGTTGGAGGAGCCTGGGATCAATCCAGGTCCAGCTGAAGCCCACTGACGCCCACCTGTACCCTCCACCCAAGTTCACTGGTGATGAGGACAACATTGGTACAAGAGAGACTCTGGTGTGAAGAGTTGTGGTGGGTGTACATAGAAATCCCCAACTTCCTGGCCTCAAAGCTTTTCTGGTTTTTAATGTCTTTGGAATAGAGGATAATGACTCCAGGGAATGTTGATTTCTCCCTTCTCTCCCATCCCCAGAACAACACATTTGGTCCCTTCTAGTTTTGTACATTATATGGCCATTACCAGGGAACATGAAGGTGACACATGATCTTGATTCCTTTCTGGAAAGTGTGCTAACTTTGACACAAAATGCAAAAGGTAAAAGGGGACTGAGGCAATTCAGCTGATTGCGCATGTGGGGGTGGAGTAGTTTATCAGAGCTGGTCCAAATTGCTTGGAATTCTCAGGCAAAATATTGTTTCTTTGCCTGATTTAACAACAGAGTGTAGGGTTGGGGCTGTAGCTCAGTGGCAGAGCACTTGCCTGGCACACGTGAGTCACTGGTTTGGATCCTCAGCACCACATAAAAATAAATAAATAAAATAAAGATATTGTGTCCATGTACAACCTAAAAATATTTTTAAAAACACAGTGTATTTTTTTCTTAAATTTCTTAATATTCATTCTCTCTCTCTCTCTCTCTCTCTCTCTCTCTCTCTCTCTCTCTCTCTCTCTCTTTCTTTTTGGTACCAAGGATTAACCTCAGGGGCACTTGACCACTGAGCCACATCCCATCCCCAGCCTTATTTTGTATTTTCTTTAGAGACAGGGTCTCACTGAGTTGCTTAGCGCCTCAGTTTTGCTAAGGCTGGCTTTGAACTTGGGATCCTCCTGCCTTAGTCTCTGAGCCTCTGGGATTACAGGTGTGCACCACCACATCTGGCCCCTCTTTCTGTTGTCAGTGTTCTTTCATATGTTGTATGTATTTGTGTAAATATGTATGTGTATGGCCATCTCAGGTACTTTTTGAAGAATGTATAGTCTATACACATACATGTATGTATATAGCTTTATTAGCCAAAGGAATAGATGAGGGAATTGAAGAAAAGAGAAAGAGAAGAATGTTCATTCACTTCAAAATTATTTGTGAAGTATCTGCTAGTGAACAGGCACCATTTTAGACACTTTAGTCATAATAGAGGAAGTACTGTGGTCCCTGTCCTCAAACTGTTTATAGTCTAGTGGGAGTGGCAGTGAAACCAGCAGGTGGCCAAAGCACAGTGTAGTGCTGGAACTGAGGAGCAGTGTGGATACATAGGAGGGGCAGCTCACATGTCCTGGAGGACCAGAGAAGGAGGGAAATCAGAGGCTTGGAGTGTGAATAAGAAGGGGTTGATATGTCCATTTATTCAACAGATAAATATAGCACCTTCCCTGTTCCAGGCATTGTCCTAAGCACTGGGAATGCAGTGATAAACTTTACCCACCCTCTTGAGTTTCCGATTCTTTGGGAGATGACAGATAGCAAAGAGGCAAAAAAAAAAAAAAAAAAAAAAAGAAATTAAGGAAAGTGACTTCAGATAATGAAATGTGATATATGAGAGTAAGCAGTTGGGCAGGGACTGTTCAGGTAGTGGGAACGGAAATGTACAAAGTTGCAGAAGGGGAGGCTGTGCTGAATGTTCAAGGAATCCTGTCTCTTCCCAGGTAATATAGCCTAGGGGATAACCTGACTCTATATACAAGTCAGTTTGTGAAAGCATCAGCAAAAACAACTCAGTGAACTCTGAGGACTAAATGACATATTTGTGAAAGCATCAGCAAAGCTTATAGACTCCTAAGGGAAGGAGAGGCCAAAACCAAATTAAATACAGGTAAATTTGTTCAGCAGACAATCTGAGTCTGACTCACTGATCATCAGGTCTCTCTCTGTGGTCCCTAATTGGGGTCCTGGGACTGGACATTTGCTGATACAAAGAAAGTTCTTTAGCTTAGTTCTTTAGTCTGGCTACTCACTGATGAAGCAGTAAGTCTCTTAAAGAATCAAGGGACCATGAACTTCAAGTAAAATATAAAAGCAGGATTATGATTTTACACCAAAGTTGTTAATTTATTCAGGAGAACTTGGAGGAGAGAAGCCTAAGTCCTTTACTTACATGGCCTGTTTTCTGTTGCTTATGAAATAATTTGCTTAAAATTGTTGCCTTTCACATATGTCTGTTACTTTTTTTAATATTTATTTTTTTTAGTTGTAGTTGGACAACTAATATCTTTATTCCATTCATTTATTTTTATGTGGTGCTGAGGATCGAACCCAGGGCCCGGCATATGCTAGGTGAGTGCTCTACCGCTGAGCCACAATCCCAGCCCCTCTATTACCTTTTTTTAAAAAAATATGTTTTTTTTAGTTGTAGATGGACACAAAATCTTTTATTTTTATTTATTTATTTTTATGTGGTGCTGAGGATCGAACCCAGGGCCCGGCATATGCTAGGTGAGTGCTCTACCGCTGAGCCACAATCCCAGCCCCTCTATTACCTTTTTTTAAAAAAATATGTTTTTTTTAGTTGTAGATGGACACAAAATCTTTTATTTTTATTTATTTATTTTTATGTGGTGCTGACGATTGAGCCCAGGGCCTCACACATTCAAGGCAAGCGCTCTGCTACTGAGCTGCTACCTTTTTAATGAAGTTGTATCATTTGAAAATATGAAAACTGCTTTGAATCTTTGTTGATAGAAATAGGAAAAAATGTATTCAGAATTCTGTTATCACGTTTGTTTTCTTGGTTTGGGTGTTATAGAATGAGCAGACTGTCTTAGCTAAGAGTTCAATCTAGGAATATAATCACAAATAAAACGAACATTGTTCAAAAAATAATCCAGCTTCTTCCCAGTGTGGGCAGCTACAACAAGCAGATCCCAGGCATAGAGATTCCTCCTACAGTGGGCGGCCATACTGCAGAAAGGGCTAGAGTAGTGGGCTGTGCTGTTGACCTGGTGGCTGCCACAAGCAAAGGCCGGGGCACCACCACAGCTGGGCCCTGGCTGGGCCCCCCACAGGCAGAGAGGTGCCACCAGGGTTTGTTCCTGGCCGGGGGCCTGGGCAGGGAAGCTCAGACTACAAATTCTTCTCCCTGTCTACAGCTGCCAGGCTGTTAATAACCCTCCTTGCTCCCGTTCCCTGAGGTCAATGATCATGCTGTATTCCATACGCCTAACACTCACATAATGTCAAGGAACAAGGAAACATTATTAGTCTTTAGAGTTTTAAGGGAAAAATGTTCTTGACTTAAAATTCCACATGAAGCCTATTGCCACCCATGAGGAGGGAAACAGGAAGATGCAAAGACTCAAAAAGATTCTGCTCATATACCTCCTTTAAAATTGACTTTAAAGGGCTGGAGTTGGAGCTCAGTGATAAAGTGCTTGCTTAGCATGTGCGAGGCACTGGGTTTGATTCTCAGCACCCAGATAAATAAATAAAAGAAAGACACAGACAACTAAAAAAATTTTTTTTAAAAATTGACTTTAAGTTGTATTCAAGAGGGACATAGTTAGAAGTTAAGGGACAAGAGGATGTAGGGTAACAGTAAAGACATGGCTGAGAAATTAGGAAGGAAAAAATTGTGACCAGTTTTATATATTAAATGTGACTCTGGAATTTGTCTTGGTTGGTGGGTTCTCTTAAGCAGATTCCAAGTCCACTGACCTTGCCAGTTGCATGGAAGGTCACAGGTCTCAGCCACAAAGTGTGTCCCTAGAGAACAGAGTTTAAGAGGGTAGAAGAGATAATGGCTGACCTCCAGAAGGCTGTTCTAAGTCTGCCCCAGGTGCAATTACCAAATGGAGACCGGAAGCCAAGAGAAGAACCCAGGCCTTGTCAGCCTGACTAGTCTGGCAGCACACACACACAAAAAAGACAGGGTGGAACTTGTTTTGAGATTCTGTGGCTCAGTGACTCCGCCCACTATTGGTAAATGGCCAACAGAGCC